TTTATAATATAATATTGTATACTATGNCCCCAAAGAAAAGAGGCTACGTCAAAGTGGTCTTAATTTGCAAATTAATGAAACCTTTAAAAATATAGTTACCTATCTACTCAAATAGGTGTTTTTATACTTAAAAACATAATAAGGGAACTTTTAACCGTTAACATTGGACTCTGGGGTCAAACGTCTCCTTCATCTTTCTCTCCATAATGTCCAAAAGACTTAGAAAAGAATAGCCCCTTCACAACTTTTCCTCTAAAGTTCCAATTTGCTTTACCTCCAAGTTGCTACTTTTCAACACTGGAGCCATGTAGCTCCATTGGATATTAAATAGAAATGTACACCTTTAGCCGCTCCTAAAAATAATAGCCGACAAAATGTATATTTTATATATATATATATATATATATATATATATATATATATATTGTATATTATATTATATATTATACAATATATTATTGTATATTTTAATTATGTAACATACACTTTATACAAGAAATATACAATATATGATACATTAATGGAGAAATTAGGGAAAACTTAATTTGATAGATACTTTTAGATGAGAGAGAATCTTAAGAGATATATTATGATACATTTTAGGTGATAGAATCTCAAGATAGATATACTAGGAATATGAAAAGCTGTAAATTTTAAAATAAATTGTATTATATTTAATTTTATCAAAGCAGTTGTAGAAAACTTAAATAAATGTTAGAAAGGTTGTATTCTATGTAAAGATTGTATTCTATGTAATATTCTACTCTCTTTTTTTCTTCTTGGAGGGTTTCCCCTTACTTAAAAAAGAAGTGTGGGGAAGGTCCAATTAAGCAATCGCCAGAAACTTTTGATATTGGAATTCTTGATATTATGAAAATCTTGACAATTGTGGATAAAGTTATTCGGTATGTGTTACATGAGGTTTCATAGAATTATTAGTGGGTATACATACAAAATTAGTACTGATACCATGGTTATTAAAAAAAAGTTCCTTTTCATTTTTGTCCATTAATATATATATATAAGAAGGCTGAGCTCATAATCGTACAAAAAATTATTAAAAAACAATAATGCATATAAACATGACCATTGGTTCCTTGCAAATGGCACTGACCTTAAATAAACATTAACTTTCGCATGACATTCAACAAACAATAAAAAGAAGAAGAAGATCACCAGGATTTGGTTCAGCGGATATAGTTACTCTTCCCTTGTTCAGAGGACTCGGATTCAAACCCTGAGTATAAAAATTTTGATAGAGAGCGCTTCAGTCAGAATGAAACCCTACACGACGCGAATCCGAATATAATAAATTTTCGGTGCGAGAACCGAACAATATATGATAAATAAAAAAATATCATTATATTGATTAACGAACTCAGGGAACAAAAAGTGGAAAAAGAGAGAAGTGAAAGTAGCAGCAGTGAGTAGTGGGAACCCCAGTAAATACAACCATAATTTTGTAACACTAACAACTCTTTCCAGCCAAGACTTTCTGTGTCATGACTCATGTCTCACTTTCAATAGTTTATAGTTTAAATAAACTTTCAAAACTATTCTTGATTTGTCTCATTATGCTAAGCAAGTGACTAAGTGCTAAAATACTCATGGCCAAGACATGCAATTGGGTGCTTTAGACACTTGTAAAGATGAATATTAAAAAGAATAATTACAGATCTAGAACAGGCAATTATAATATTATTTACTTGGTAGACCTTTTAACAACTCTAAATGTCAGCCACTCGACTTTATACTATAGTCGAATGTTGCAATCATATTTGCAGAGCAATCATACTTGCAGAGCAATCAATTGAGGGTTACAATGTCTTGTCAATTTCATCAATTTTTTTCCATGCATAATATGCCAAACAATATTTATTCTTATAATCTTGTACTTAGCTTACCAATAGGTAGCCAAGATCTCTATCTTTATATGATTTTGATCACAATCTCATGGGCGGATCTAACCATCCTATTTAATAGTACAACTGTACTCACTATATTCAACTCGAATTATATATACATATGACTGCTAAAAAATATTTTTAAAAGCTTATTGATTTAATTGAAGAGAACTAAAACGATTAGCTTAGCTAACGTTCTGGGAGAATCTAGTCATTTATTCAATTCATAACTATCTCTGTAAAGCAAGGAATAGAGCTTCTACGAAAGCTTCCCCTCATGTAGTCGAGCCTCTCTCCCCCCCCTCGCTTCTGACGAAACTGCGAGCTCATGAGCAAGTGAATGAAGGAGCCATGTTCCTAACAGAATGACCCTCTTTATTTTCTTTTCTTCCCATTAAACGAAGCTTCGTTGATGGTTTTTCTTCAAGTGTACTTTTCCAGGTATGCATAAAGGAATAGGCAGGTCACAGGTGCATCACATGGGGAGTCTTAGGGCCAGTTTGGCCCTAAAACACATTTCACATTTTTTTCAAAAAAAGTTTACTTTTTTTTTTAAGTGGTTGGCCATGAAAATTTTAAATTTACTTGAAGTTGAATTTTGAAATTTTTCGAAAATTTTAAAAAATTCAAAATTTACACTTCAAATCAGTCACAAAAATTCAAAAACAACTCCAAATTGTATTCATGTCCAAACACAACTCTAATTTTCAAATACCATTTTAAATCAAAATTTTTTTTTTGTTTACACAATGAATTCTCTAATATTCGAAACAAGATATTTCGTGCAACACAAACCCGAAATTTCACAATTCAAGATATCTTGTTTCGAATATTAGAGAATTCATTGCGTAAACCCGAAATTTCACAATTCTTATGTCCAAACGCCCACTTAGGGATGATAGGAAAGAATATAAGAAATGAAGAATGTTCTTTGTTTGAACAAAACATAAAATGCACCCAAATGCTTATAGTCTACATATTGATGAATATAGGACTGACATTAAAGAAAAAGTTAAAGTGTTGAAGTAGCAGCAAGTGATGAGAAACATGTGGGAAACAAATTAAGGGGCAGAGTATATAATAAAATCCTTATATGGTGTAAGGGAATGTTTGGTTGCCAGAGCAGACCAGACCAAGATATCCCAAAGGCTAAAAACCTAATTACCTTATGGTGGTCGTGATTTGCGGGGTCTCACCAAGATTCATTCACTTTTTTATTAGTTAAAAAGAATAAAATATAATTAATTACTTTCACAGGCTTCACATGATGTGTAACAGTGTAAGCAAACTGTTTTTCACACATTCTTTTAATTTTTCGTTTATAGTACTCCATCTTATTTCTTTCTCCCTCTTTTTTTTTTCTTTTCTTTTTAGTTCTTGTTCTAATGGTTTCTTCATAATGAAGCACTTGTTTTATCTCCAACTTTTGTATTATTCTTGTGTAGGGTTTCTTCATAATGAAGTACTTGTTTTTTTTCCAAAATATTTATCAATTTTATTCTCTGAAAATCATACTAATTGAATTTTGACTAATTTCAAAAACTTGTATTCCAGCATTTTGATACGAGGAAATTTCAGCTTGTTTAATTTTTCTGAAAATCCAAAGTTATCTCATAGAACAAATTTGTACAATTCATTAAGATTCGATAATTGGTAAAGTGGCCATTGATAAGCAAAAAGTTCAGATATTCTATCATCTTTTCTTTGGTTCTTCTTAACTTTTTTATGAGAGAGGAAGCTATGATCTATATAATACATTTAAAGATTTACTTTTAAAAGTACCTATAAATACAATAATCACAAGAGAGAAGAGACTGAAAGAGAGGATTCAACTATTTTAAGTCAAAGAAGTTGGCTTTCCGCACCTTCTTTATTTTTTTTCAAAACTTTTGCTTGGAAATACTAATTCTGAGTTTACTTAATAAAGCCATTCTCTTCCTATAGAAAATTCGGCTGCGACTGCTGAATTGAAATTAGAGATGTACAATATTTCTAATTAGTTATAATCAATAATGATTTAAATTTACAGGTAACAAGAAAAGGACAACTAATACAGACTTGGTTGCATTATTAGTTCGTACAGTCATAACAGCAGTCGCTAAGTTGGCTAGTGAACTTTCTGTAAATAGAGGCGGAGCCGGGATTTGAAACTTATGTGTTCGAAATTCTAAATTAATAATTTTTACATATTCAATGAATTTCTTAAGACAAATACATAGTTTGAACGAAAGCTACTGGGTTTGACCGAACCCGTAAGTTGTACTCTCCCTCCGCCCCTCACTGTATACGGGTAAAACCAAGCTCGATATTCGATCGAGCTTTCGAACTCCCCGATTAGGCCAGGGTCAAAATATTTGTGATCAGGTGAAGTCGAGCTCGAAGATCGATCTGACGCTAAACATCATCGGCCAAGATCGGCACATGGTGATTATGATCGAACCCACATCATTGTCGAAGTTAGCCATCGAAACCATCAGATATGCCCTCGAGTTTACCGAAGGCATAACCGGTCCTTTTTCCAACGGCCTCGAAGAAAGCTTTGCCAACTCATCCGACAGGGGTCCGTACTTCTCGCCATTAACCAACCATTATGGCAGAAATTACGGAATTAGTCAAAAAGGGAACCAACGGTCTTCAAAATCAAGGACTTATGTTTTTATAGTACAATTAAATAATACCCTAAATGGTAGGTCTCCCTCAATATATAAAGGAGACTTGACAATCCATTAAGGACATTGTAACATATACTGATAAGCAATATATTCTCCAAGCTCCTACTTTTTGATATTTTTCTGTCAATAAAAGTATATTCAACTCAAGGGTGACTGCATTCTTAAATTGGAATCATCCAATTCCTGTGGTTTACAATTATTTTATCGCTATTTATTTTAATTGTAATCTAATTTATCATTTTGTATCAAGTTAATCCACATGTCCTTATAACCACTAACAAATTCAATTGTTATCCGATTTTGAGGGTAAACAATTTGGCGCCCACCGTGGGGCTAGGGATAATAGTGATTATATTATACAAATCTCTGTAACACACACTACTTTACGCTTACTCTTTGAATTGTCTTTGATTTCAGGCTAAAAATGTCAAACTCTCAATTAGCACCCCTACATGTCGACAATGAGTCCGGTCATCAGGGCGAGAATAACAACATAGCGCCCGGTAACGTAGGGCCACCCGCTGGTCCCGTGGGAATTTCGATCGCAGATCCGATTGATGTTAATTCACATGTGGCGATCGACGTCAACTTGCCTACCTACCCCGAAAATATCATTCGTGGTGAGGCCCGATCGGCGACTCGAAACACACAAAACAATGAAGAAGATGGGATCAGCCTACGGACGATCTTCGAAATGCTGCAAGCTCAACAAGTGGTGATAGCTCAGTTGCAGAGCCAAAGCCAGACGCCGAGCAGGGTTGAGCCCGATCGCATAAGGGAACCGGTCATAGTAAGGTCAAATGAACAAGAATATAGTACAAATTCTGAGATTATAAAGATGCTCGAGGAGCTGACAAAGCGGATAGAATCAGGAAAAAAGAAAATCGAAGCGAATAACAAAAAAGTGGAAACCTACAATTCCAGGGTAGATCAAATCCAGGAGCACATCCGATAATGAAAGGACTGGATTACAGGAAGTTCGTGCAAAAACCTTTTCCTCCGAGCGCGGCTCCAAAGTCAATCCCCAAGAAATTTCGTATGCCCGAAATACCTAAGTATAACGGAACAATCGATCCAAACGAGCATGTAACTTCTTACACATGCGCCATCAAAGGGAACGACTTGGAAGAAGACGAGATCGAGTCTGTTCTACTAAAAAAATTCGAGGAGACCCTGTCAAAAGGAGCTATGACATGGTATGAAAACCTACCTCCTAATTCTATTGATTCATTTTCTATGCTTGCAGACTCCTTCGTGAAAGCACATGCTGGTGCCATCAAAATCGAAAACAGGAAATCGGACCTTTTCAAAGTTAAACAGAAGGATAATGAGATGCTTAGAGCATTCGTGTCCCGTTTCCAAATGGAACAAATAGATTTTCTGCCAGTCGCTAATGATTGGGCTGTTCAAGCTTTCACACAGGGACTCAATATTCGGAGCTTGGTGGCTTCACACTAACTGAAGCAGAATCTGATAGAATACCACGCCGTTACCTGGGTGGATGTATATAACCGGTATCAATCAAAAATCAGAGTCGAAGATGACCAACTCGGGGGCCCCTCAGAGTCTGTTTATCCCATCAGAACCTTTGACAGAGTCAAGAGAGATATCGATCGTGAACCAAAATCAAACAGGGATCGATTTCTGCCATATAATGGAGATCGGAGGAGCAGTGGGTCCGGACGGAACCCCGTAAGAAACAACAGGAGAAATGATCAAGGTTGAAGCAACCGTGGGCTCATGACCAAAAATATCTTCGACAGGTCCATCGGGCCTAAAGAAGCGCCGAGACTATCGGAATACAACTTTAATGTCGATGCTGCCGCCATCGTATCTGCTATCGGGCACATCGGTGATACCAAATGGCCTCGACCTCTAAAATCCGATCCATCTCAAAGGGACCCTAACCAAATGTGCAAATATCATGGCACTCACGGTCATAGAACAGAATTTTGTCGACAACTGAGAGAAGAAGTAGCCCATTTATTCAACAACGGGCACCTTCGAGAATTCTTGAGCGACCGATCCAAGAACCACTTTAGAAACAGGGATTCTAACTAACAGACAGGACAAGAAGATACTGAACCTCAACACGTCATAAATATGATCATCGATGGGGTCGATATCCCACAAGGGCCGATGTTGAAACGCACCAAAGTATCCATCACTAGGGAGAAACGAACTCGAGACTACGTAGCGGAAGGAATTTTATCTTTCAGCGACGTGGATGCAGAAGGGATCATACAACCTCACAATAATGCATTGGTAATATCTGTACTCGTAAATAAAACTCGAATTAAATGTGTGTTGATTGATTCAGGTATCTCGGCCAACATCATTCGATCAAAGGTCGTGGAACAGCTCGGTCTACGAGACAAAACCGTGCCTGCAGTACGAATTCTAAACGGGTTCAACATGGCATGTGAAACCACGAAGGGAGAGATAACGTTACCGGTCAATATCACCGGAACCATACGAGATGCCAAGTTTTATGTGATCAAAGGAGACATGAGGTACAACGCCCTTCACGGAATGCCGTGGATCCACAACATGAGGGTAATGCCCTCAACTCTTCATCAAGTGTTAAAATTCCCAACTCCGGAAGGGATTAAGACAGTGTACGGGGAACAACCAGCCGCGAAAGAGAAGTTTGCTATCGAAGAAGTGATTCCAATATCAGTACTCACAACATCGAAGGAAACAAATTCGGGCGCAAACCAAAAGGCCAAATAGCAGTCACCGACACCGGCCACGACCCAATCGGATAAGTGGGGGACTAATGGAGACGATGATTACGGGGTCCCCCGATCTTTTATAATCCCCGATAATCTGACGCAACCAAATCAACGGTCGAAGAGCTGGAACATGTTATATTGGTCGAGTATCAGCCCGATCAGAAAGTATACTTGGGCACAAGGTTAACTCCTTAGCTTAGGAAATTTTTTATTCAATTTCTTATAACTAATATAGATTGTTTTGCTTGGTCCCATCTTGATATGACAGGGATCCCACCGGAGATAATCACTCATAAACTATGCCTGGACCCGCAAATCAATCCGGTCAAGTAATAGAGGAGGCCCCAGTTCGAGGTCAAACATGCTTTCATCAAGGACGAGGTATCTAAACTCCTTAAAATAGGGCCCATTCGGGAGGTTAAACACCCGGATTGGTTAGCGAACGTAGTGGTAGTCCCTAAAAAGGGAATAAACTAAGAATGTATGTAGATTACAAAGATTTGAATAAAGCATGCCCCAAAGACTCTTTTCCTTTGCCCAACATCGACCGTATGATCAATACCATGGCCGACCACAAGATCCTCAGTTTTCTCGATGCCTATTCCGGGTACAACCAAATACGGATGGACCCAGGTGATCAGGAAAAAACCTCATTCATCATTAAATACGGCACATACTGTTATAATGTAATGCCGTTTGGATTAAAAAATGCTGGTGCCACGTACCAATGCTTAGTAAATCTGATGTTCGAAGAACAAATAGGAAAATCAATGGAAGTTTACATTGATGATATATTGGTTAAGTCTATGCGAGCAGAGGACCATTTAAAATATTTTCAGGAAACCTTCAGCATATTGAAGAGGTACAATATGAAGCTGAACCCAAAAAAATGTGCGTTCGGAGTTGGATCGGGTAAATTCCTCGGGTTCATGGTATCCAACCGAGGAATCGAGATCAACTCCTACAAGATCAAAGACATAAAAGATATCACGGTTGTAGATAACATAAAAGTCGTGCAAAGGCTAACAGGACGCATAGCCGCTTTGGAGCAATTTATCTTGAGGTTGTCCGACAAGAGCCACCGATTCTTTGCATTGTTGAAAAAGAAGAATAACTTTTCATGGACTCCATAATGCCAACGAGCTTTGGAGGAACCAAAGAAGTACTTATCGAGCCCGCTGCTGCTTCACACACCAAAGACAGACAAACAACTATACTTGTACTTGGTGGTCTCGGAGATAGCGGAATGTGGAGTCCTAGTTCGGGAAGAACGAGGTACGCAATTTTCGATCTATTATGTTAGTAAGACCTTAGGTGAGGTAGAAACTAGGTACCCTCATCTAGAAAAACTGGCGCTCGCCTTGCTAAACGACTCCAGGAAACTAAAACCATACTTCCAATGTCGCCCCAAATGTGTTGTAACAACTTACCCGTTAAGGAACATTATGCATAGCCCGAACTCTCAGGTTGATTGGCCAAATGGGCCATGGAAGTAAGTGGTTACGTTATTGAATACCGGCCCCGGACCGCCATTAAGTCACAAATTTTGGCAGATTACGTGGCCGACTTTACGCCGACTTTAATACACAAGGTCGAAAGAGAGTTATCGATTAACTCAGGGACTTTTTCGGGAATCTGGACACTCTTCACGGATGACACCTCAAACGCAAAAGGGTACGAACTTGGCATCGTACTAAAGCCACCGACATGTAATATAATTAGGCAATCTATTATGACTGTGAAATTGACTAACAACGAGGTTGAATATGAGGCCATGATTGCAGGCCTTGAATTAGCTAAAGGTTTAGGGGCACAGGTGATCGAAGCCAAGTGCGACTCACTCCTTGTGGTAAACCAAATTAATGGGATATTCGAGGTCAGAGAAGAACGAATGCAGAGATACTTGGACAAGTTAGAGGTGACATTATGTTGGTTCAAAAAATGGACTTTGCAACATGTACCTCGGGATCAAAACAGCGAAGTTGATGCCCTCGCTAACTTGGGATCGTCGGTCGAAGACAACGAGATCAACTCAGAAGAAATTGTGCAGCTTATGAGATTGGTGGTGGAACAAGGCCACGGCGAGATCAATTCAATGTGCCTAACTTGGGACTGAAGGAATAAGTAAGTGGAATATCTCATGACCGGAAAACTGCCCTCGAACCCAAAAGAATCGAGGGCCCTACGTACAAAGGCAACCCGATTTAGTTTGTCCAAGGATGAAACCTTAGCCAGAAGAACGTTAGATGGCCCGCGATATATTTGGAATCGGGGGATACCGAATATGTTTTGAGGGAAATCCACGAAGGTACCTGTGGAAATAATCCGGGCGACGAATCATTGGTTCGAAAAATAATCAGAGTCGGTTACTACTAGATCGACATGGAAAAAAATGCAAAGGAGTTCGTTCGAAAATGCGATGGATGCCAAAGCCATTCTTTAACGATTCATTGAGCAGGAGAGCCGCTACATTCGGTCTTGTCACCATGGCCATTCATGAAATGGGGGATAGACATCGTTGTCCCCCTTCCACGGGCGCCCGGTAAGGCCCAATTTATTTTATTTACGACTATCTATTTTTCTAAATGGGTGGAAGCACAGGCATATGAAAAGGTCAAAGAAAAAAAAAGCCATCAATTTTATCTGGGACCACAACGTATGTCAATTCAGAATACTGGCCGAGATTGTGTGCGAAAACGGGAAATAGTTTATTGGCAGAAAAGTAAGCAAGTTTCTCGAAGACCATAAGATCAAAAGAATCTTATCCACTCCTTACCACCATAGTGGGAACGGACAAGCAGAATCTACCAATAAAACCATAATCCAAAACCTCAGAAAGAGGTTGATCGACGCTAAAGGAAAATGGAAGGAAATGCTACCTGAGGTCCTGTGGGCATACCGTACAACCTCGAAGTCCAAAACCGGGGCCACCTCATTTTCTTTGGTTAAACAACGAGGCTATGAGTACGATCCTATAACGATTAGATGAAAGGCACGAAGCTGCCCTTGTCTGGTTGGCCGCCTAAAAATAGCGAATCGAGTGATATTATAATCAAAGGCCCAACCTTCGGTACTTTAATATCAGGGACTTAGTACTAAGTAAAGTTATACTGAACACCCGAAACCTGGACGAAGGGAAATTAGGACCAAACTGGGAAGGACCGTACCAAATTATCGAGATTACCCGAAAAGGGTCCTACAAGCTCAAAACAATGAACGGCGAGCAATTACCGAACAACTGGAATATAACTCATTTAAAGCGATATTACTGCTAAGGTACGACCCCTATTATTTCTTTTATTTTTACATTTCAAACTAACACTAGCAGGTGACCAACAAAGGATGATACGAGGTCCTAGGTCTGAAAGCACGCGTTGCACTCTTTTTCCCTTGAACCGGATTTGTCCCAAATGGGTTTTCTGGAAAGGTTTTTAACGAGGTAACAAGTAAATCGTACTAACTTAGAATTGAAGTCCGGCTACGAACTGTTGGCAATGATCACAACAGCATTCGAGGCCACTCTTCATTAAGCCCCGAACACTGTGGGGAAATATCCTCAGAGATATCGACTTTAACGAGGAAATGATCTATTGTATGGGCCAAATGGTCAAATGAACCATGATCACACACACCGCTCGATCCCTGTGATCTCGCCCAAGTCACACCTCAAATTGGGGTTGTGAAGCGGTCGATTGCAATAATAATACCAACTATGAGTCGAGATTGAATCCAAATGGAGCGTAGATGGGATTAGTGGTATGTATTTGGTATAAGCACGTGAATTGTCTAAGTTGGACTTCCACAAACTTTGTTTTGCTTTTACTTCTAAAATTATGCTAAGGATTGCAATTGAAAAATATGAAACTAGAGAAGAATGTTTTTGTTGTTGTTTTTCAAATTTGTAAAAGTTCTAGAACTGTGACTTCCACCTAGGTGTTTGCCTAACAGGTTGTAGACTTTAGAGCGAGTTTCATTGGTCGGGGTGTATTATAGCAATCAACACTCAAATACCCACTCAATACCTCTCGATAAGAGAGTGATTTTGCCCAATTTGGCTTTCTCAAGTCCAAATGGGTATTGAACTAAATAATTGACAAATTGCTCAAGTTGAGTTTTACTATATCTAGGTTCAACCCTTTAATTGGGACTATCAATCTCTTGATTTCATTCCAAACTCTTGTTAGCCAAGTTTTCCTAGACTAAGTCTCTCTTTCTCAAGTAGAGACCAAGTCAAATAGGCTTGAACCAATGATTGCAACCATTAATTCTACCATTATAGCAAGAACTAGGCTAAATAATACATGCCCAACCATAAACAAGCCCTAAATCAAACACCCATTAGGAGCCCACACTAGGGTTGGGTCACAACCCTATCTAGAAAATTAGCTACTCATAGTGGATATTGAAGAAAATAAAAAAGAAAAGATAATAAAACTCATATTGAATGATTAATAGATGAAAATTCAATGTAAAACCAACAATATAAACTAAAGTTGCCAAAAGAAGTAAAGAAAAATGGCTACAAACTTTCTGGTATTAAAAAACTTGACCTAATTTCGTGAAAGTAGTCTATTTATACAAAGTTGGAATTTTTGGACAAAATTGCCCTTTCATAGGTTCTGCGGCCGCACAATTCTGTGTACGGTCCGCACTTTTCTTTAGCTCTTGACAGGAGTGGATTCTGCGGCCGTACAATTCTGGATTGCGGCCGCATCTCTTGAGTTCTGCGGTCCGCATAATTTTGGGTGTGGCCGCAAATTTGATTTCTGCGGCCGCACAATTATAGTGCGGTCCGCAATTCTTATTGGGCTTGAATTTGAAACTCTCTGAACTTTGACTTCTGCATCCGCAAAATTATTGTGCGGTCCGCACTTTACACTGAATCCTCTGTTGATTCTTCTTCATATTCTGCGGCCGCAGATAGAATTCTGCGGTCCGCACTTGAGCCTATGTGTTTGATTTTTGTCCTTGTTCAAAAGCACTCCTTCTTGAGTTGGA